TGCAGCAGGATCATGCCTTCTCTGTCTGGAAGAGGCAGTGGTGGCAGCAGCGGGGCAATGGGATCTGTCGATCAGATCTGGGCTCCAGGTGGAAGGGCTGCTTTATGAATGTGCCCGGGGCTCGTCAGAATGATACAATGAGCTGCTAGCTCGGCTCTGGGCCCTCGCCTGTGGCTCAGCCCTGGGGCCCACATCCGCCCCTCTTGCAGCATGATGTGACTGAGGGCTCACAGGTGCTGAAGGCCCGGAGCCCCGCACTTTTGACAGCACTGTACTCCCTACCTTGCAGCTGTGTTGCTATGGTAACGGAGATCTGAGGCAGCTTCCCCAAGTGTAGGAAACTCTTGTGGTTGAGCTAGGAGCACAGGGGCTGCAGGTGGACCTTACCTGGGAGTCGCACTGTTGCTGTGCTCCTGTTGCCCTGGATGTCAGGAACCAGCCACTCCACGCTCAGACCCTCATCCCCAGGGAGTTGGAGAAAGGGGATCAGGCTGCCTCCTGTGTAGTAGCTTTGCTTTCGTGAGGCGTTCACTGTGGGGCAAATTGCCAGGATGAAGAGGCCGCTGGTCACTGAGCCCTTCTGTGCACCGCGCATCCTCTCTAAGCCTCACAGCAAACTTCCTGGGAGCTGTAATTCCCTGTTTTATAGATTACAGGTGATTTGCCCAAGGTCCTACAGCCAGTAGGCAGGGTTGCTGGGATTGGAGCCTGATGGAGCCAGGTCCGTCTGGCCCCAAAGCTGGTATTCTTTCCTCTCACCAAGATGGCTCCCAAGGCAGGAATGTTGGGTCTGATGGGTCCCCTTTGAGATGGTCTAACTGCAGGCTTTCCTAGGTTTGGAGTCAGGGGAGTGAGGTGTTTGGACAAGGTAGTGTCTGCATCACTGATTAGCAGGTACAGTGGAGGGGCCATTCTCTGAAATGCTAGAGTAAACCTTAGAGGAACTGTGTTACAAGGGGAAGCATATGGGGTTTGGAATTTGCTGGTTCCAGTAGGAGCTGTGCCACATTCAAGCTGAATGACTTTGTATAAATTACCTAACTGTTCTGAATCTCAGTTTCCCTATCTGTAAAATGGAATCCTTGCTTCACAGATCTATAAAGCTTAGCATACTGTACTGGGGTCTGGCATACAACTGACACTTAAAACAATTCCTTCCCCCATTCCCTCCTAGGATTTTCCCCTTCCAGTGCCCCATCCCACCTAACTCTGCTGCCGTGTCTACCAAGTGCTACCCTGTGCAGAATCCGGCCCCACCGCCCTTTCCCACGCTGCCCAGACCCCTCCCTACTGGCAAGCTGCTTGAACTGGGACAGGAGAGGCTCAAAGAGGTCATAGTAGACTTGGTGGGTGGCGGTGTTGTCCCGGACGTAGAGGAGATCGTCCACCGACACGGGGTCTGAGGTGGCCTGCCACAGCGTCAGGCTGTACCTGGGGTCCAGAGAGCCAGCTCAGTGCCTGCCTGGGCCCAGCAGCCCTCAGCCCCACTCCTGTGCTCAGAGCTGGACCCGAGCTGGGCAGGGGGGGAGCACTACCCTGCTTCACTGGGGCCAGAAGAAGCCACAGAGGCCTCGGGAACGATGACTGAGAGTAGAGGCTGAGAAGGAGGGGAGATGCACTGCCCTGCCTCCTCACTTGGAGTGTCTATTTCTGTGTCCTGTCTTAGGAAGGAGACAAGGACAGAAGAGATGGGCACAGGATGTGGGGCTAGAGGTCAGGTATGAAGAAGGGAAGGGGGTGGCCTCCAGTGGGGAGAGGCTGAGGAAGGTGGGGCAGCTGGGGACAGAGTGCAGGGGTGGGGATGGGGCTTCCTCAATCCCTACAGAGCTATCTTGGGGCAGAGGCTGTAGGTGCAATCTGTGCAGCCCAGGGAACAGCTGGCTTCCGTGGGAGGAAGCTGTGGGAGGCAAATTGTGTCTCAGTGTAGACACTTTCCAACGGGCAGAGAGTTGTCTGTCAATGGACGGGCTGCCTCAGATGACAGTGAGCTCCCCATTACCAGGGGCATACAAGCAGAAAGCAGGGACATTGTAGAGCATGTGAGCACCAGCAGAGGTTGGACCAGATGATCAATAAGACCCTTCTAGCCATGAGCCTCTGGGATCTTCTGGGGGCATCAGTGCCTGGGAGCAGGTTTGGAGGGAGTAGGAGCTGTGGCAGGGGCCTGGGAGTCCTCACCTCTCAGATTGGCCCAGCAGCCAGCTGAAGTGGGGCCAGGCAGCCCGTACCATGACGGCCCGCACAGGGAAGGTGACCTTCTGTGGCAGTCCTTCCACCAGCCCCTGCATCTTCTCTACCATGGCTCGGGTATACGTCCCGTTTGGGAACAGGGGCAGGTAGAGGGTGGTCCAGCCTGGAGACAGGGTTGCCTTAGAATACTTCTCCTGGACCAAGGCCAGGAACCTGCAGAGAATCAGAGATGCTGGTCTTTTAGAGCCCCTTCCTCATCTCCCAGGTTCCCATCACAGTGCTCAGAAGAGGCAGGATCTCTTACATCTATGATATAAGGGCACAATCCTAAGGAACAGAAATGGCTTGCTCAAAGTCCCACAGTAGGGCATGGACTTTGGTGTTGGGGAAGTCTGGGTTTGGGTCCTGATTCTGTGACCTTGGGCAGCTCATCCAGCCCCTTTGATTCTCAAAGACGGCATCCTTTCAGGCAGGACAGGCCTTCGTAAACATACCCACATGGACGGGGGGATGCAATCTAATGCCCCAGGTGTGGGATGTGGGTTCTCCCAGCTGTGAGAGTCTCTGAACTTGCATATTTTATTTTAAAATTTCATTCAGATTTTGCCTTGATGCAAATTTTAATAGGCAAATAATGTTACCCTCTCCCTCTCCCCAAATTATTGAGTAATTTTCTTCACTCCAAGTAGGTGAACCATTATTTATCTTGGGCCACTGACTACATTTTCAAACTGCTGCTTTCCAAATGCACCTCAGTTTGAGAATCATGATAAATATTGGACGGATGGATTGTTGGCTGACTGGCTGGAAAGATGGATGGATGGATGGATGGACGGTAAAGAGCATGGAGGTTAGAGTCAGATAGGCCTGGTTTTGAATCTTTCCTCTGCCAATTACTAGATTTAAGCAAGTCATTTAACTTCAGTGAGAAATTTCCTGTATTAATAAAATGAAAATAATATTACCTACCTCATCCTCAAGTAAGAGTTAAGTGGTATTCTACAACTAGAGTACTTAAAACAGTGCCTATGACACATAATAAACATTCAACAGATTGTGCCTCAATTATTGTCAGCTTTCTCATCTGCAAAATGGTGAGAAAAAATGCTCCTAACCTGGCATTGCTATGTGAAGATCAACTCAGATATATGCTCTCCTTTTAAGTGGCCCTTTGTAAACTGGAGCACACCAGGCAGCTGGTGTTACATGAGGGCAGTTGGTGGCAGTGCTGGGATTTCATGGGGGGCTAGGGAAGGAGTCAGTGCTTTAGACTTTTCTAGCAGGCCAAGTGTTGCCTTTGTCACTGGACTAGGCCCTGTTTGCCCTCCAGGAATAAACACTGTAGTAAGGGTGACAAACCTGTAATCCGACGGTGATAGTCCAACGAAATCAGGACTGTTAGGAGAAAGTGTGAGTGAAGGCCCTCAGTGGCCTTGGATGTCAGG